GATCCCATGGATCTTGAAAATCCGTTTCCTGAAAATGAAGGCGCTGTTCATCTATGGCAGGGTGATGAAGATAAAATGGTGCCTCCAAGCTTGCAACGATATATTGTCCAAAGACTTCCATGGATAAACTTCCATGAGGTATCTGGTTCTGGACACCTGTTCCCCTTCATCCCAGAGATATGCGAAGCGATTATAAAGTCTTCAGTGTTGGGAAAAAACTAGCCTTTTTTCGAGCATAATTGGACATACAGCAATTTTTCCCCTTAAATCTTGGGTTCATGCAGTATATCCCTCATTCTATTCCTAATATCAAACTTGTTGCAACAAGATTAAATTATGACTTTAGTCTATTCAGAGCCTCAAAGTTTGCTACAAGCTAGCAGTGTTCAACTGCTAACATTCTCTGGTTGACATGTACATCAAAGAGTCCAATGATGAAGTGGTCTAAGCTACAAATGACAGGCATGTCTGGTTCCAAATGTTAGAGTCCACATCATTGGGCAGCGTTTAGTTACTATTTGTCGGACAGAAAAGACGAAAACAATTAGAACAGAGAGGATTTGTTCCCATGTTCTTGTTTTGAAATAATAAAAATTCACTCATATTCTAGAGCCATTAATTTTTATGTTTTTCTCTGCAACCAAATATATTATATATGCATGTTTTATCCTGACAAACTAATCAAAGACAATAGTCATCTTTTTAAACCTAGAGGGTGAGTTTTCTAAACAAACCACAAATAATCACAACAGGATTGCCATTCCTGTTAAGTGCTTCTCTGTTACAGGTTGAAGAGAAGGGGAGTTGGGCCCATCCTCAGCCTTGACGTACAAAAAAAAAAAAGGAACACTTGAGGTCATCATTAATTTAGTTTCATCATGAATCAAGATTAAAATGGAATTGTATCATATTTGAGTTCCTCTGATTTAATTTATTTCCACTCGAGTTCATGGAAAAAAAATAATAAAAATCAACCAATCAAGAATAATTATTATTCTGAAAATACTGCTGATTTGTCAATAGTTCAAAAGCTCTCGAGGAAGGTATTTGTCTTTCTGTTGTACATGCCATGTATCTGCCATGTTGCCGTAAGATTGAATTTTGATACTGCTTTTAATCAGATTTTGCAAAGTTTCAAAGCAGCATGGAACTGTTAACATTTCCATCAAAGTGTCCAGTGATGGTGAGAATGTGAGGCAAACCAGCTATTGAATACCTAACCCCGCTGTATAAACACCATGGCAGCACACCCTATGAGCTTCAGAAAACAGAAAAAACTAACTGCAATTCATTGTTTTAGCCGCCACGGCCAACTCCATCGAGAAATGTCAGCCCTTCTCATTTATTTATATATTTATGTCCAGTTAAATTTTGTTTTAAACTATCATATGAAATCATAGTCTCATCATCAATAATGTAGAAAAACTGAAAGCAATTTGAAGATATTTAGCATGCTATATTTCTTTGTTTAAGAAAAAGATGATGCTTACTAGGTTGCTTTCTCGCATATCTGGACAAACATTATTCTATGCATGAAGGGCTTCAATAATCTAGCCGATCCATCAATCTTTGGTGAAAACAGGGAATGGGCAACGACTGAATCTTATCCTGTTATCTATCACATTGAGAATTTGACTCCCTGGTGTGCGTCATAGCAGTTGATTTTAGGGATTGTACTATACAATGTCGGAAACAACTCGGCAACTGACTGGATCAATCATCTTTTATAATAAAAGGGCATTATTTTGTTCTTTCAAAAAAGATTTTGTGATATCTAATTAGATCAACAAATCATTAAAAATCTAACTAAATTAATTGAATTTCATTAAATTAATGTTTTTTTTAACTCGGATTAAGCTCTTATCGCAGGTTTCTTGATTCAATTTACTAGGTTGAGTTTAACAACTAATAACTATTCATCTTGGTATCTTCCAGTTCCGCATGTTCTTGTCCTTCGTAATCTAGCACAATTTATGTCAACTCTAAAGTTTATTTATATTGAATTTCTTTGCGTGTGTGGAGTTTGTGCACCTTATTTTGTTAAATAATTAGTAGAAAAAGAATCCAGTATTTTATTTTCTTGTTGTTTAGATCTTCATAATATTTATTCTTGCTTCAGTATCAGCTAAAAAAATAAATAAAGCTGATACTATTATTTAAGTTTTTTCTATTCAAGAACATAAAAATTATTAGGAAAACTAGAAATAAATAATCAAACATTAATCTATCCGGATCAATTTACAAGTTTTAATTTGTTTTTCTCTTTATACAATCAAAATCAGGATCAAACAATCAACAAATATAAAGTAACAATCACACAAATTAACATTAAGATTTTTACATGGAAAACCGGATGCGAGAAAATCACAGGACCGTAATTCACCTAAAAACTTTCATTATTAACAAATAATGGATTCACAACTATTCTTTCTTAGATTCAACTAAGGATTACAATATACATATTATTAAGAACAATTTATTCTTGAAATGCAACAAGATTAAAGAAGAAGTATTTAAGAAAAACTCACAATACTGATAATCTTGTTTTCTATTAAAATGGTCAGTTTCCACACTACCAATCTTTGATCCAACCGTTCAGAATGAAGAATAACATGTTTAGAAGCTACTGTAAAGATCTCAGCCCGATCTAACAGTGAACGAACTGGAAATCAAGAAAAGAAAATAAATTGTCCTACTGCCTCTTCTTTTTTTCTTTCTCTCTTTTTTTTTATGTTTAAAAAAATAATAATATTACTTTTTAATTTTAAAAAATAATAATGTTATTATCTTTTCGGAACTATACACAATAAATACTACATGCACCAGCACTATGAACATCTTTATTTGAAAAGAACAACCAATTGAAAACCGCCCCCTGTAGTAGTGGAGGCAGGGGGGCTAGCAGAGCCTCAACCTCTGTAAATTTATTTTTTTCCTAACCCTTTCCTTGTAAATATCTTAAAACTAAGTGAAAATTTAACTTGATTCCTCTTAATTTATAATGTGGCTCTCTTTAATTATTTTTTTCTTGCTCCGCCCTGCCCCCTGGATGACAATATTTATAAATTACTTACTTTGAGAAGGGATGAAAATGTTGTTTTCCCTTAATTTTTCTAAAGCTGCTTGTAAAAGAACCCTGCGATGCGAGCATAATTACAACGTTTTTTTCCTCTCCACGACCATTGTTTCAATTTAAAAATTTAAATTTTTAAAAAATATCTTCAAAAATAATTTTATTTTATGAACTCTCACTTTCAAGTATAAATGGGATCATCATTGATTGTCACGTGAACATTTATTGAATTTTGTAACATATAATGTGAGAATCAGATATTTGTACTTGAGTCTAGCTGACGTTGAGAATTGGACTAAAACAAGTCGTGGGAGACGGCAAGAAACTCCTACCTGCTTCAAAATAAACTGCTAAGTAACTTTTCACCGTAGTTTCTTCTTGCAGGTTCTCTCTCTCAGACACCAAAGTTACTGGGTTGTTTCTCAGGTTCTTGTTATGTCTAAATCTGAAGTTTATTGATGTTTTTTTTCACGCTCACAAGCATGAAGTAATGGAAATGTTTGCTCTCACAAGTTTATAAGAAGCAGGAAGAGACTCCATTATTTTCGCTAATTTCTTTTAGAGGTTTGATCTTTGCAGTGCTTGCTTGCCTTATTTTCTGCTAAAAAAAAAAGATAATATGATTCCAAGTTGAGTATGAACATTTCTTAATCACCTTTTGATGCGGGATATATTTCTCATAGATCTATGAAGAGTCTTTCATGATCACTGCTAGTGTTGTTTTAGACCTGCTTTTGTCTGTGTTTAATTTGGTGTTTGTAAATGTTGATAGCCTGTTGAGTGAAACGGAATTTTGGTGGATTTGGGATGATGTAAAACCGAGATTTTGGCCACGTTAGAGAGTAATCTGTAACAATGAATTTAAGCTGGGTGTTGTCGGTATCGAGTAAGATGATAATTTTCTCCAATTTTATAGCACAAATTGTGAAAAAATTCTCATTTCTCCTAGGGATGATCAAGGAGATTACAGTGGTCTTGTGTCTGGGGTTGGCTGTATGGGCATATCAAGCCACCCACCCTCCACCTCCGAAGCTCTGTGGTGCCCCAGGGGGTCCTCCGGTTACAGCACCTAGAATAAAGCTGAGAGATGGGAGGCATCTGTCCTACAAGGAGCATGGTTTTCCTAGAGAAAAAGCCAAAGCCAAGATCATACTTGTTCATGGCTTTGCCTCTACGAAACTAGACATAATGAGTATGACAGACCTTGTTCCGGTACTTTATTTCTAAATCTATTTTATCTTGTAACTCTTAAAGATTTCATTACTCGAGAGGCTGTATATGTTGATCTGGAGATATTGCACCTTTTCCCCTCATTTTATGTTATTATTTTCAGCATGTTGTTGAGGAGCTTGGGTTGTACTTTGTGTCCTTTGACCGGCCGGGTTATGGAGAAAGTGATCCAGATCCAAAGCGAACTCCTAAAAGTATAGCTTTAGATATAGAGGAGCTTGCTGATCATTTAGGACTAGGATCCAAGTTTTATGTGATGGGGTTCTCCATGGGAGGCCAAGTGGTTTGGGGCTGCCTCAAGTACATACCTCATAGGTGAGGCTGTTTTGCTTGCGACTCTGATAAATTTGCTACCTAGAGGATCTTCTGAAACTTTCAGAATTGGTTGTGAATTCGAGTAAAAGGAAATAAAGCATGCTATGCAAAACAGTTCCAATGTTCTTAATTGTATTTGATTATCATGAATTTGTTTGTTTGTTTCAAGTCGAGTGCTATCTTGGTGCTTACAGACTCGCAGGAGCAACACTAATTGCTCCTGTTGTCAACTATTGGTGGCCTGGCTTTCCTGCCAACTTATCAACAGAAGCCTACTACCGGCAGATACCACAGGAACAATGGATGTTAAGTGTTGCTCACCATGCCCCGTGGCTCACCTACTGGTGGAACACTCAGAAATTGTTTCCTGCATCGGCTGTTATCGCCAGGAAGCCTGAGATTTTCTCCCGCCAGGATTTAGAACTCGCACCTATGGTTGCAGAGAGAAGCAAGGACAGGGTACGTCATTTTCCTAGTATTCTCTCTTTTTTGCACTGCAAGGAAATGAATCATAAACCATATAAATTGGAGGCAAAAAGATGTTGCAAGTGATAAAGTTATCATCTCATACATAATCTTGACGTAGTCTTGAGAAACTTCGTTCTTTTATCCATTATGTATAGTAACTTGCCAGAATTTATAGCCTCCTAATCTTCCTGGTTGACTTGGAATGTGTACCCCCTCTTTTTATGCAGCCACCAGCGACGCTGCAAGGAGAATTTGAGTCCTTACATCGAGACTATAATGTTGGATTCGGGAAGTGGGAATTTGATCCCATGGAGCTTGAAAATCCTTTTCCTAACAATGAAGGCTCAATTCATCTATGGCAAGGTGATGAAGATGTACTGGTGCCAGTTAGCTTGCAGCGATATATAGCCCAAGGAATTCCATGGATTAACTACCATGAATTGCCTGGTGCTGGACATCTATTCATCGTTGTCCCACAGAACTTCGAACAAATTGTAGAAGCTGCTTTTCCGGGAAAGGACTAATCCTATTTGTTGTTGGGCCAGGTGTGGACAGTGTATCCTTGATGCTGTTCTTAATTGCAAACATCTTATGTCTTTGTGTTGTACAAGCTATGTCTACCACGGAAATTTGGTCATTTTGCAAGATTTCGTCAGTTTTAAAGCAGCATTTATCTGTTAGCATTGGCTGGTTAGCCTTTCCAGCAGAGAGTCCAATGATAAAGTGGTTTAAGTTGCGAATATGAGGCAGATCAGCTTTTTGAATATCTAACGCCACAGTATAGCAAACAAACAGCAAAGTATGCCCTGCAAGCTTCAGAAAACAGAGATTCACTGTCATAAATTTTCGGAGACTTTATGGAGATGGTGTCAAGGAATGGCAGCACACTAGCAAATATGAAGATCAAGAACAAACATGACAGGAAAACCACGAATTTATTGACTGACAAAATCTGGAATACAAACATTTGGAAACAACATAAAAACTATTCAAGCCTAACAGTTGAGGGGAGCTTAGGATCAATGGACAGATTATTAATTGTTGAGACCGAAAACCTAAATAGACTGAAACAATAATAAATAACAGGTACAAGGCAAGTGCAGCATTGAATACAACTTTGTTGGCAACAGTTGAGAGAATCACTTCACAGCAACCCTTGATTGCCGCAAACAATCATCACAAAAGGTTCACAAAGGCGTCCATACCTTAGCCAACAGAGTACAGAAGTCCAAGAAAAGTTAATGTAGTCTTAAGTTCATTTAGGCAGCCCAGTTTCGGGATGGAGAAGGGCCTGGCTTTCATCGGAGAGCAAAGCAGGACCTCTACCAGGTTTCGTACAAATGAAATAACTAACATCTCCTTTGCATCTCTGGGCATCCTTAATTTCTGGAGGTGGTGGCAAAGCTTCCACATCCTTAATATCTTCAATCCCAGCATCTTTTAGTATAGACTTGTCACCTATAACATAACTGAAGGGAAAAGGAGTATGACAATCATGAAACTTATTGATGGGGTTGAACAAATGGTAGTCTACTGAATATTGCACCAAAACCCTGCTAATATATTTTCCATTATTTAGTACATGGTGAGCCTGGAAGACAATATACCTGTTCAAATCAGCATCGGAACTTGGAGGGAAGCAGAAAAGCAGTTTCTGCATTAACTGGGTAGCAGCATTTCTATCATGGGCAATTAGAACTGCATTTGGCCCAGCATCAAAGGTATAAGCCACCTGTCATTGAAATCTCACCACCAGTCAAACATTTTAATGCATTGGAACACATGACAGTTAGCTGGTAGGAGTAGGAGCACTCTTTTTTGCTTCTTTTTTATTTTTATTTCTTTAAGGAAAATCTACAACAAAAGAAAGTGGCTGCAAGAATTTCAAAATCACATTAAATGATCACGAATAGGTAAAAGAGCAGCACAAGCCACAAGAGTGAAGCAGCTTCATATTTGATGTGATGAAGTGATACAAAACTCAAAACCAAATAAGTTATCTGATGGTATGTCAGCACCAGCAGGAAAATATATCTGTACACAAGGAACCATGCAAGATCAGCTAATATTACAAAACATGCTTTGCAAAAAGAACAGATGAAACTAAATATTATAATTAGACTGTTAGGAAGGCAATTTTATTATATTACCATCCTCAAATCATGCATGTAATCATCCATGTCTCAAGCTTGACTATCATCTATGATCAAATTTTTGAAAAATAACCATTTTAGCATCATCACATTCCATATTGAACTTGCTTCTAAGTTAAGCTCCTAGAATGTGAAGCACATTGACCCAATCAAAATAGCGAAAAACAAACAAACCGACCTGTGGCATTCCTTCTGAGCAATTCCATTTTTCAACACAGCTGATTATCCTGATAAACAGTCAACTGCATTAAAACTAATCCCTGTAGCTGGTGAATTAGCTCAACAGGAAAATAAATAAATAATTGATAAAGCTTAAATTCCCATGTCAGATGAAACAAGGAACTTCACTTGCCTGTGAGATGTATCGTTCATGTAGAATATTGTGGGGCATGTATCCAAACAGACTGCATGGAACTGATTGCTATCCGCACAGCTTAGTTGTGCAAAAGATCCAAAATCACGATTCTTTATGGCTTCTTCCATTTGTTTAATGCGTTTTGGCACAACTTCCTATTTAACCCAGAACAAGGAGAAAAAAGTACCAAAAGTTCAATAAATTTCACAAAAATTAATGTATTGATCAGAAGACAACTATTAAAGGAAAAGGAGGATAAAATTTCAAAGAAAATCAGAATCTGAACAGAGAAAAGGCAGTATAATCACAAATCATGGTTATCATCAAGAATAGATTCTGAATAAGACTTCAACTCCATTTAGATCTAGAAAGCTCAACAGCTAGGAGCTCTTTTTGCAATTGAAGAAAGACAACAGCTTAAGAAAGGAAGCTGCAAGAAATAGAATCGAGGGCATTGAAAAGCACCTTAGCTCTGTGTTGCAAAAGCAAGCTAGTTTCAACACTATCCCGCATTCCTGTGGTGCTACTTGTTTCTTTCTGTCGCGAACTTACCTGCAGGACAAATCATGACTTGGTTTACTAGAACAACGGGGCACAGAAAAAAATCAATCATAAGAAAAAACACATACCACAGCAATAATAATAACAAGTTCATCCCAGTGCTTTTCATCTACAAGTTGAACAGCAAGACTATCACTTCCATCCTCAGCCTTGACATATTAAAAAATAATGGATCGGAATTAATTGCTCAAAATGGTACAGGGCAGTCTAATCAGAAGGCCCCATGAATGAACTTCAAAATCAAACTTACTTTTCCCATGATCCACTTCACAAATCCTCCAAATAAACTGCGGCAGGCACTGCCAGAACCTTGCCTGGAAAACAAAACTTACAAAAACTCAAGCATTCTAGAACCTTTCCAAGAAAAAATGCTTGTACAATATCAAATGTTAATTGCAACTAGCGTGCTTGAATCACTCTTTTCTTAAAAACCTTGACAAATTGAATTTAATATGTAACTGAGCTATAAAACAAGTCAAGACAGATGTCAAAAAAAACATCTTCTCGGTGACTTAAAGATATCATAGCAAATACTACGATCGATAGCAGCCAAGAATGAGCAATTAAATACCAACAAAGATGAATTTAGCTGGAATTCAAAATTATAAATATTTGTTGCGAGTGACAACTGTCTGAGAATATAGCAGAATAGATGAACCATGTTAAAAGCAGCTACATCAGACATACAAGGAACAAGATGCTAGAAGAAAAAATGTGTAATGCCACTCAAGATTATTGGCATTAAGACAAACATCATAAAACCGAGCACTTAAAAATATGTGTGGGTTACAAAGGCATACCTTGCAATAGCAGAAAGCTCACTATTATCTTCTTTTGCATTCATCAGCTTTGCAAGGGCAAAAACTGCACAAAAACACAGAACCAGATGATGTCACGCTTAATAAATTATTCCATTCATATACAAGATTGCAAATGGTAATAGAGCGCTGCAGATGTAAAGCAGTAAAAACAATAAAAGGGCTCCTCGAAGTTGAATACTGGTCCATTTATAGGAAGCGTGCCTCTAGTTTGGTGCGTTTTTATATATGAGCTTCTATACAAATACGTGAATGCATCAGTGATTATAATCCAGGATATACAAGATGCCTCGAAGCTAGTACACATACTCATGAAAATTATACGCCAAATTGGTCAATTTCAACGTGGACCCCATAACCTTATGGAGTAGGCTTTATCGTCACAGTTTCAAAGAAAGCGATTAATGAATAATCATTCTACATATTGAGTTCCATTCATGATAAAGCTAGACTAGAGGGGTCAAATAAAGTTAAGAATTAAGCGAGAATTGCATCTGGCTTCCTATAAACTATGAAGCCCAGGTTGTTCATTCACAGTGATTTCTCGGAAATGATTAGTCCAGATCAACCATTCAAAAAAGGAAATAGAAATATTTAAAAAACATACGCCCATTAACATAAAAAAGAAGAAGAAGAAGAAGAAGGAATGAGTATAGCAAGGAAAATTCAAGAAAAATATGTTTACCAAGACAAGCAAAACCAGCTGCAGAGGAAGCCAGTCCAGCGGCAGTAGGGAAATTGTTATATGAAGCAACATGCAAGTGCAGTTTCTCCCAATCCTTCTTTGCAATCTTGATACCCTTCTCCTTATCCTCAACTTCACAAGCTCGGGCACGAATTTCCCTTAAACAATTTTGGTACCTGCCTCCAGAAAGGGAAATCTCCTACACTAACCAGCAAAAACCAAAAGTGCCATGAGTCAGCGTGAAGGCAGAAGATTTCAATATGAATTCGACAACCATTTACATTTTGCTTAACTACGAAGAACCTAAACTAGCAAACTGTTTCATTTACAAGGCCATTGAGAATGCAAGTAAATTCTATCCAATCTAGACCCATGTCCTTCCTTTCAAGATCAACTATTTTATCTGGTCTCAAACAATTTCTTTCCTTTCCCCGCATTTGCTCAACAACTGAATGGCATGCAACAAAAAAACACATCAAAGTTTTCCCTGATGACAAACCACACAAGATTCTCATCACAGCAAGGTAGCCCTTTTCCTCGAACCCGTCATCCTTGGTATAATTACATGCACGATTGTACGTCACTTCAACAATGCTAACAAATGAACTTACAGCTAGCTGACATGCAATTCTAAAAGCTGTTTTCATGGACAGGCTTCAAATAAAGAAATTTTCGACTATGTTGACCCCATCCTAAATGAATTTCCATGAAGCAAAGAAATTAAACCAACTCTGATGGTAAGGCTTAATCCCTCACCCGCAAAAATTCGACGCACGAGAGATTCATTAAATCCATTGAAACCATATTTCAAGAACTTTCTCGGCAACCAAATTGAAACAGAAAAATGAGAGAAGGACTCTACCTTTCCATTGAGCCACATCCGATCCTGGTCAAAACTAGGACTCACAGCGACAGTTGTGGTGGTGCAAAGATGAGCCGGATCAAGAGTGACACTTATGCTATCATTAACAGGCAAAATCAAGGTCTCATCTCGCTTGCCCCAGTACTTTATCACAGCTATATTCGTTGGTGTCTGTGCAGTCACCATCCTCACCCATGTTTTCTCTGCCATTGATGATGATAGCAATCCTCAAAAAGCTTCAAACTTTACAGAAGAAAGTGTATCAGATCAGAGATTTGAAAATCTGAATATGGTTTCTTGCTAGCTAGAGAGGAGTGGGGGAGTATGGAATATAAATAGGAGAGGAGTCAGTGAAGGACAAAAAATGGTGTCTCCTCGGCTTTTGTTCATGTTTGGACTTTTTGGGTTGCATTATTTTTCCTTTAGTACTTGTTTTTATTTCATTTTTTCATTAAATTTTGAGGCTGGATCTTACGTTATCAACTTGTCATTATGAAAGACTGCGGCTCTGAAGTCTGATATTTCGGTAATAACTATTTTTAAAAAATATTTTTATTTAAAAATATATTAAAATAATATATTTTTTATTTTTTAAATTTATTTTTAATATCAATATATTAAAAAAAATATAAAAATATTGTTATTTCAAAAATATTTATAAAATACAAAAATAAATAAGCTTTTAATTTTTTATGTCAGAACTCTATATAATTTAGTAATTATATTTATTAAACTCTATTAGTCTAGTGGGTTAATTTTAGACCTGTTCAATCTAATCCCTGGCTGTTTTAAAAAGGTAAATTTAGAGTTGATGTAACAAATAAATATGTAATTTAGTCAAAATTTAGTTTAATTTTTTAAATATAATTTTAATTTTTAAAAATATTTTAAAATTATGTTATTTTAAAATTATGAAATCAACTTAGAGGCTAAATTCTTGAATATATCACGCTATTATAGGAAATGCTATAAATTTGACTGTCATGAAAACTGTAGGATAAAATTATTTATTGTTGAATAAGAAAAAAAAGGCAAGGTGTTTGGCTTGCAACGACAGGTTCTTTTCTACTATTTGTTATTGTGAGGTGCGGCGCGGTGAGGTTTTGTAAGGTGGGGAGTCAATATCATGCGTTTAAAACGACGTTAAACAATCCATATTTTAGTACAAAGTTGGTTTATTTATCGATTGACGTGTTTGCAAAACATAAATAAATTCATAAAATTAGGCATCCAAATTGGACCCAAATGCCGTGCCCTTTCGTCTAGGATTGTTAAATAAATAAATAATTCGTGCACTTTTATAACCGACCATAAGTTTAAAATGTATTTGATTTTCATTGCTTAAACTTGATTCTTTTTGTTTTAAATCACGGTAAGAACTTGGATTTAAAAAGATATTTTAAAAAAAATATATAATTACAAAGATTATCTCAATGTCAATCAAGCAAGGATAAAGCTGTAACGTTTAGTTTGGAAGGGCTAAATTAGAGAAGAAATTTTAGAGGGGAGCTAAAATTTAAATTTTAAAATTTTTAAAGCTAAAAATCTATTTTATTCAAGGAGGGGACTGAAAAACATTTCCCTGCAAGAGCCCTTCTAATTTTGTCTCTAATATCAAACACGTCCTTAGCACTCACTTGATAATATAGTCCAAACAAAAATTTATAAAAGCAATATTCATAATACCTACGTTATATTTAAAGTTGTATCATGTATGTGTGTGTGTATAATAAAATGACATAGGCAAAACAATGTATTCTTAAGAAATGTTTTTTTAAAAAAATAAACTAAGTTTTATTGAGTAAGATCAACTTCCAATATAATTTAATTTAAAACCTAACTTAAATTATATCTTAAATTGACGAGTTAAGGCTTGATAATTTTCTAAATATCAAGACTATTAAAATGAACATTGGGGAAAAAAATTTAATAGAAGGAACAAAAATGTCAACTTTTACTCAGAAATTGCAGTCAAGCGTTTGAAGGTAGTGTTATTCTAGCAGAGAAAGGAATGATGGCCCAGAGAAAGGCCCTTTAGTGCACAAATGACACATTTATTTAATTTCACCATGAACAGTCATCTCCAAACTCACAAGTCTTCTATGTCCACTGCTACACCATGCCCTAATCAAGTATCAAAGCAAACCATGTTTTCTAGTCAAACCACAGAAGCCCTTTTTATTTCTGATTTAATTATAAATTATTCCCTATAGAACACCAAGCTTCCTGCAAACTGAGATGGTTTTTTATTTAATTTTTTTTTATCAGTAGGAGATTTTATTTCATATTGTTTGAACATCTTTTTACAAACAATATACAACATAAAACTTCTGCAGAGTTGGCCCGGATTCTGGGTTCGGTCCCTATAAAGGCCAAGTCAAAGGGGCACTTTGGTCCATGACCATGCTTAAAAAACCGGAGCCCAAATTAAAGACATTGAGAACCTTTTCTTAATCTCTTTGCTAAATTACGTAGTCTGGACCAAATACGAGGCCCAAATTGAAGGCCCAAAATCCCTGCCCATCTTGCATGTATATTTTCCCCCTCCCACCGCTACTAGTTTTGAAAATCTAGCACACTCATTAGTTTTACAATCAGGTAGTCCGGCCCAAATAGAAGGCCCAAAATCCCTGCCCATCTTACATGCGTATTTTTTTTTTTCCTCCCACTGCTACTAGTTTTGAAATTTTAGAAGGCATTAATTAGCGTATGATTTAGCATGTTAAAAAATGCTGAGGTTCAAACACCAAGTTTTATTAGACCTGCATGTTAATTAAGTTTATTAAAATACAGTCAATTTATTTTATTTTATTTAAATTCTTGGAGTTGAGTTGGTTTAAATTACTAAAAATCCAATCTTATCCACAGGTGATTTTACTGTTTCAATATTTTCCATGTTTAACTTAAAGCTGGGCTAGATTAGGATCGAGATTACTCAGTTTTCTAAATTAAATTGCCAGCCGAGTCGGATTTAATTAATAATTATGTTATATTTAAAAATATAACAACAGTTTTTTAAAAAAATATTTTTTATTAAAAAATACATTGAAATAATCTTGTTTTTTTTTTGTTTTTTTCAAATCAATTTTGATGTACAATTCAAGAACATAAAATAAATAATCTTAAACAAAATTTTTTTTTTCACTCAATTCTTGTTTTTTAACAAAATACCAAACCGGGACTAGATAATTTGTGGATTACCTGGTGATTTTCTTTTTTTCATTTTCTTTCATCGGAGGAGCAATGAATTGCTTAATGTCACCGCTATGTAAAACAAGGTTGAGTGGGAAGGTTAAAAGGTTAGGTAATGCTTTTTGACCTAAAAGAGAAGATGCAATTATCACGGTGTGGGTCTCCAGCACTTCAGCATGCTTGCATTTACTGCCTCTATGCTAAGGTATTATTGGAGTTCATGATATGATAAATGCCTTTAATTGAATCTTTTGACGTTCAGAAACACCACCAATTATGTGCATGCATGGCCTACACGCCCGCTTGTCACGGGGTACCCTACCCCATCTCACCTCTTCTTTCAACCACCAAAACGAAACCCTCCCTCTTCTCTCAACTCATTTTTCACCATATTTTGGCGTTTGCTGTGGGGATAGTTATTGCTTTTACTTTGTTGTTGATTTTGATTATATATATATATATAAAATGAAACCAATTAAAAACCAACTTGCTCGTTTCGTATTGTCTATTTGTGATAAAATCCAGTGCTGATGTTAGCCAACATACCATCATATATGCACATGGCGAGGCTCACCTCACCTTGGGACAAGCACTCCGAGGTGAACTGTTTTATCTTCAAAGTTCAGGGCTTTACCTTTATGACGTGAATTCAGTCCCTCTGATAGAGGTAAATGAGGACATTGAAAAGGAAATTCTCCCTTTCTCTTTTCTCTCCCTCTGCAAATTCGTAAAGGGAGAGCAGACATCACAATTACTAGAAGAGGAAGCAATGAGTAAAAGAACATTTGAAGTGGGCCACATCCCCGTAACTCATGCCTTAATGGAACATAACATAACCTACCATGTCAACTTTTTATATAGCTTCCTCGACTCATAAAGGCTTCCTCCTCACTGGGGAGAGACACTTCACTTCTTGCTTCACTTTGGCTTCAATGGCTAGACCAAAGCCTGATCAGTTTCTTCTGGCTCTTTTGATCTTCTTTATCAGTACCTCTCTATGTTTTTGTCATGGCATGTCATGGCAGGTATTTCAAGAGGAGGACGATGGCATGTCATGGCTCAATGAGGAGGACAATGAAGTTGACATAGTTCAAACTAGGCATGATCCATCAAGGAGCTGCAACTTTGAATCGGGCAAATGGGTTTATGACCAATCCTATCCTCTCTATGATTCTAACTGCCCTTATCTTAGTACTGCAGTCACTTGTCAAAAAAATGGAAGGCCTGATTCAGACTATGAGAAGTGGCGATGGCAACCTCATGGTTGCTCAATTCCAAGGTACATACCTGCACTTGAAGCTCTATGATACCCCAATCTATTTATTTGTCCATTGGATATGCATAAAAACGCTTGAGTAATTGTTTGTGTGCTTAATTTCCTTGATGCAGGTTCGATGCACTTAAGTTTCTTGGCAAAATGAGAAGGAAAAGAATAATGTTGGTAGGTGATTCTATCATGAGGAACCAGTGGGAATCTCTTGTCTGCTTAGTACAAGGAGTAATTCCAACTGGGCATAAGAAGGTGACTTATAATGGTCCTTCCATGGCCTTCCATTCTTTGGTGAGTTGCATATTTACTTACTGTCCTTCCTATATTTTACTGTTCTTCACCTTGGAAGTGATTTTTCTTGCAACAGCTTAATCTAGAATTAAAATGTTGTTAACAGGATTTTGAGACATCGATAGAGTTTACTTGGGCTCCACTGCTTGTGGAATTGAAGAAAGAGGCTGGAAACAAGAGAATCTTGCATTTGGATTTGATAGAAGAGAACGCAAGATATTGGAGAAATGTTGATGTTCTGGTGTTTGATTCAGCTCACTGGTGGACTCACTCCGATCAGTGGAGCTCGTAAGATAGATTATTCCCAATTTTCTCTGTCTTCTTTCATATTCTAGAATATGGCTTGTTGATTAATGCAATCATTCAGATAGTTTTTTCAGCAGCTTCATGGTCCTGATTTCATCAAATTTCAGGTGGGACTACTACATGGAGAAACAGACTCTCTTCCAAAGTATGAATCCGATGGTTGCTTATCAGAAAGGACTCACTACATGGGCAAGATGGATAGACTTAAATCTTGATCCTCGAAAAACCAGAGTCATTTTTAGAAGCATGTCACCCAGGCATAACCGGTAGGTATCCAACAACATACAATTCTTAGTTCAAATGGTCATGTTCTTGTAATGTATAATGCCATTTGAATTGGCAATTATTTTTTGTAGGGGAAATGGTTGGAAATGCTATAACCAAAGGCAGCCTTTAGCATTTTCCAGTCACCAGCATGTCCCTGAATCCTTGGTAGTACTGAAAGAGGTGTTGAGAAAAATGAGTTTCCCTGTGTATTTGCAAGATATTACAGCAATGTCAGCTCTGCGTAGAGACGGGCACCCTTCTGTCTATAGAAGGGCAATAAGCGAACAAGCAAGACAACACCCCGGCAGCCTTTCTTCTGACTGTAGCCATTGGTGCCTTCCTGGGGTACCTGATATCTGGAATGAGATGTTGAGTGCACTGCTGTAAGTTCAGAATATGTAAGAGCGTGTAGAGTGAGTGTTCTGCTAAATTAATTAGGCTTTGTTTTGTCATCTTAGAATCTTTGATGACTAGGCAGTCATGGTTTGTGCTTTTGTTGCTGTATCATATTGATGTGAAATGGATAATGGTATGTTTGGCATGTGACTTGCAGTTACTGAGATACTAATCGCTTGGTTGATCTTCTTCTTGTCATTTTAATGTTAGCTTTTTCTGAAACCAACTGTCCTGAGTCTTCGTGCAATATCTATTGAACCGAATTGAAAGTAGGGACAGGGAGGTCAAGTTCAAATCTAGGGTAGAGTAGGATGAGAACATTTTGAAGATGTGAGCTTGCAAACAGTCAGAACCTTCTATGGGGTCTTAGCCATAAAAAGAATGAGAGATTATCGATAACCATAGAATCCAAAGGACCACCTAACTTTGAACAGAAAGTAGAAAAAGAAAAGGAAACAAAAGAGAAAAGAGAACTTCGAAGTCCCCATAGGATTCAAATTCTCCTGTTTTAGCTTTTGCAACTACAAATTATCTAGATCAATTATCAGTAGCATCAAGTTAGTGGTTAGCTTTGCGTAACCGAGAAAACAGGATGATCATCATTGCTGGACACGATGGTTAACAATGCTTTTACTTAGATAACTTGTAAGACTACATAAAAGATGAAGCCACCACTGATCCAATGTAGAAGAGTAATATGGCCGCACATTTCAGTTGCACAAGACCAACATTGGACGATATTCCATTGAAAATAGTGGCCATCTTGAAGATTGGTTTTGTATTTTATGATATGGCTGCTTTGGCATGATGCACAAGTTATATGCTTTTTAAATAACTTCTCTCGTACCAATATTGTTTTTTTATTTTTTAAAAATAATTTTTGATATCAGTATATTAAAGTGATTTAAAAATATTAAAAACATAATAATTTAAAATAAAAAAAAATTAAATTTTTTTAAAAACACTTTTAAAATATAGAAAAAAATAGGCCAGCGACATGCTAAAAAATGATTTGTAAATAATTGCATTAAAGTCTAGCGGAATAAAAATCTGCTACAATATAATGATTATTTTACCACTCGCATGGTCCAGGTTGAATGGCAGAGACTTGTTAATCTGGTGAATTTGGAATCGAACAACAGCCTTCAGCCTTTCTAACACAAATGCAAGTTTTTCCTCCCCTTGGAGATGTCCTTAACACTCAAACCAAAAGCCTTCTCCAAAAGCTCTTCCTTGATTCCACATCCGAAAACTGCAGTTGGAATCCTCATCAATCCTGGATTTTCGCTATTAAAACTGCCCAGGATAGTTGCTGGTTTATCTCCAACATTCATTTGGAAGTGAACTAGCCCCCTTGGAAACACCATGACTTCACCTTTTTCAAGCACCTTAGCAAAAACTCTGTTCTGTGTATCGACGAACCCTGAATAAATTTTCCCCTCAAGCACATATGCAACCTCTGTTGCTCTTGGATGGAAATGAGGCACGTTGACACCACCAGCTTCAAAATCTGCACGAACAAGCGACACACCTAGTGTGTTTAGGCCCGGGAAGTTATTCACATTGACAGGGATGGATGCTAGCCCGGTTTCGCTGAATTTCCCATGAGATTTAATCCCAGAAAATATGAAATCCTCTACAGTGGCATCTGATGAATTCTTGCATGGGATGTCGGTTGCGGAATCTGTATTGGCTATGCAGAAGTCACGGACCGGATCGGGGTCAGAAGCCAAGGTGACACCGCCATGAAGAAGAACGGCAAATAAGACTGTCACCGTTAAGGACATTGTTTATATGTTTACAGTACTCCTTTTCTTGGACCAGGGGAAGAAATAGGGCTTCAGGGACTTCAAAGATGGATTTCACAACAGAACAGTAAGCAAAATGTACTATTTCACTTGGCAACAGTTCAATCACAGCCACACTGAAATTCAGCCTTCAAGAGAGAAAACCAAGTTCATTACAACTGGCAGAGGATGGGTGTTTGTTCACGTACTTATTGGAGTGGATTCACAGCTTTTCTTGGCAATGAAGCTTGTTTGATTAGGAAGGTAAAGAGTATTAGCTGGCTATCGTAAAGAGGGTTTACTTTTGGCTTTTTTTAGTGCCAAGATTGGTTAAAGATGGGATGATGAGTTGTGCTAAGAGGCTTTGATTCATCGAAGAAAACGTACATCCAAAGTCACGACATTTCAATTCTGTGCTCCAACCACTACCTTATGAACACAAAAGAAAAAAAAGTAATCAAAGCCTCACATGGCTCATGATACAATGAGAACATGCTTCTTATCTCTGAGAATCCTGGTCCGGAGAACATGCTTCCTTGCAATATAAATAAATAATTTCTCGAGTTCGAATTCGAGGAAGGTTTCAAGAACGCGACCCGAACATTAAAAAAAAGAAGAAGAAGAGTAATAATTGTAAAATCCTTAGTTACCATACCCAATCAGGAGAGGAAACCGGCCCGTTCAAGATTAAAAATAAAATAAAATTGATGTTCATTCGACCAGGTCCGTACTGAATTCAGTTGATTTATTAAAAAAAATTGGTAATTTAACCAAGTTATCTAAATTTCTCAAATCAACTGGCCAGCCAAATAAGGTAAAATCCTTCCAGGCTTTGGATAAAACGTGATTCACACGTGAGGCGTGGTGGAAGATGAAAAAAAAGAAAAAAAAAGAGATGTTTTTAATCGAGCAATAGTGTTTTACGTGTGACTTGACTCGATGATCTTAAGAGGCTTCGCTTTCATTATTAGTAACTCATTGTAAAGGCACCCCCTAGTATTTACTTGAATATATTCAATGGATTGGAGTCTAATCCACGTTCCTTTCCAGAAGCAATCAGTGTTCCAAATCTTAATCATGCAACGTTATTTCTACGATTCATTCACTTTGTGAAGTCCGAGAGCTGCATGTCCTGTGTAGATTTGTCAAAGTTTCTCAAATAGATATTTGCCTATACGCACCTAGTTCCGTGGGAGACAAAATTATCATTTGCGTGCATCTGCATCGGCACAGAACGCCCCATATCAAGCCACACAAGGCAAGTACGCATGTCGAAGTTTGATCAAGGTAAAACCACATCTACTGGCTTAAGTACATAAAAGGGGAGCAGAACGAGGCCGGGATTATTGGCTTCAACGTTCCATGTTTTTCCTTTGTAAATGGCTTGATCCCTTTTTCTCGGGATCAGCCGCAGCAGCAGGGTTACAAGCATCTTTTTCAAACGTCCTGGAATATGATCACCTAATATTTGGAAACGTGCAATTCACGGGTGTGATTTGAGCAAAAAGACAATGTGGTACAAGAAAAGTTACAGTGTGCTTACAATCAAGAATGGTTACTTACCCTTAAGACTAATAGCTATCAGTATCTGTTTCTGGCCTCCGAAGGTAGTAACGCAAACAGTTCACTAGCACCTGCAGATTCAACAAAAAGAAAAGAAAAAAAAGTGGTCGACGGCGCATAGAATAGAAAGTAAACTATGCTTGGTATCTAATTCTGTAAAGATACAGCATGTTCCTGTACAAGATGCAGCACATAGGATTCACTTTCCCATTGTAGGAAAGCTAGCAAGGGGAACTGGGAGTCCATATATAGCCCATGAACATTATTTATAATTGATCTAAGAACCATAGTTGGCATTCGACTAATTACCTGTGACAAGGAGCTGTTCAATGCTGCCCCTCCGTAGCTGACATGGAATTTGTCTTTGGCAATTAATCCCTGTGAGATGACAAAGATAAGTAATATAGAAGAGAAACCAAAACTAGGATGCACTTGATGGAATGTGGGTTATCACGGTCGAGAGAGAGAGAGAGAGAGACCTCTGTATCGATCTCTGCGGATTCAACATCAATATTAACATCAGCAATGATTTTGATGATTTCTACAAGCAATCCAGGTCGATCTGCTGTCTCGACGCAAAGCAACTGATAAAAAAGAACCTTAATTTAATATGTCCACAAATGGTAGGTTATTAAAGAAGAAAATTAAATAGCACGTATAACTTGTGAATTATAATACTAATCATTTCTGAACAGCAGCAAACCTCCTCTTAGGCCCATGAGTTCCAATATCAACATCAAGCTGCCATAAAAGAAATTACCAACATAAATTCAAATTTTATTGTCTACGATAGCACATGCAAGACGTCTACTGTTCTAGGAGCAGCTATTTGTCAAAAAAATAAAAATGATTTGGATGCTAATGGTGGAGATCCAATACAATATATACTTCAATTAATGCAATAACCAAACCTGACAGAAGCATCGACACCATATCAATCAACTAAAATAAGAGAAGCATCTGTACAAAACATAATAGCATATGCTGACTGAAATCAGAATCAGAAAGGATGAAGACTCTCCAGTCCAATAGTTGAACAGCAATCTGTGCCAGGAAATAATTGGCACACCAAACAGATACTCAAAATGCAGACAAGTTATAAACATCAGAGCAACAACAGATGCACAAACCAGAAGCTTTGCGCTTCAACTGGCTCTCCATGAAAAAATATGACAATTTTTAGAATATATATGCACCGCACCAGTCATCAGTTGTCGGAGTACAAGTTAAGGGATTAGGCACAGACAGACAGGTCTCCATAAAGCAAATATCCAAAGTATAGACGATCAGATGAGGACAAATTGAACCAAATCAACACGATGAGAAGTTCAGTGAGCTAAAAGAAGCTATCATGATGTCACCTGCTCCCCGGGAGCTCTCATATATAATTGCACACAGGGGCATAAACGCACATGCACAGACACAGAGAGATATAGAAGCACCTTTTTCTCTAATATCTACCCACAACAGGCAAAAATAAAAATTATAAATTATATAAAAAAAGGAAGAAAATGATGAAGAAGAAGAGATAGACCAGCGTATCAATTCAGTACACATACTGGATGGTACTTCAAAAGATTGTTGATGATGGTAAGTCGAATTCTCTCTAGCATATCGGGATCTTCAACCTTGCGACCAGAGTCTCTGAAACAACCAATATCTATCTTTAAATGCCAGGACTTCCAGTAAAACATGATCACGGGGTAATCTCTGATCACGTAAAAGGGCAAGAAATATGTTAATACAAACTTACAACCGTGTAATGAAAAACTTAGTTTGTTTGACTGGTCCTTCAGTGAGAACAGTTCCTTTGGCCACATCCAACCCCAAATCTTTCAGGGCATTCATCTGTCCTACAATAAAAATAAACCAAGTTACAAAAATTACAAATATTTCTGAGCATGTAATGATTATGCTATGGTCATATTTAAAGGGAGGTTGTTCAGCTCAAAATCTTCACGAGAAGAAGTTTGACCCACAATCAAGACCACTTCCAATTAATGATGGACTAGAGAAGCACATCAGATACCAGATGAAGGCAGATGCGTAGGTTTACTTCATGAAAATAGCCATCATATGCAGGCATTCTGGGGGGTTAATACCACATGCAGATCACCCCTCTAACGGCTGGACTAGAGGAGCACATCGGATACCAGATGAAGGCAGATGCATAGGTTTACTTCATGAAAATAACCATCATATGCAGGCATTTTGGGGGGTTAATACCACATGCAGATCACCCCTCTAACGGCCCTAAATACACGAGACTAGTAATACGCAATGGCTTTGCCTTGATATATATTCCACCACTGGGGCAATCACAGCACATCTCCTTGATGAATTCTGATATATACTAACTCTGGTTTCAATAGCTATGAAAATAACTCTGCTTCAGAACCAAATCTCCTTTGGCATATTGAGCAAAGATGCTGCTTCTGGTCACCCCCCCTTCAAGATTTTCACACTTAAAAGCGACAACCCCATTTCATGTATAAGGATAAGAAAGCTGGCCCTTCGTTGAATTAGAGATAATCAAAAGGCCAACCATGTTATGGGTTGTGCCGTGGTGGATTTGGAGTTAAAGGGGGGGCTGGCCATCTTTTGTATAGCCTGCACTTTCATTTTCATGCATGCGGGCGACAAGGCTAAAAATTTTCGAGAACAGAGAAGAATGGGTCAGTTCAAAAACTACTCACAGTATCAATAAGAGCTCCAAGACGATCTCCAAAGCTAAGTTGTACGATTGTTGATTCAGAATCTGAATCTTGATCTATCAGAACGACTGGAATGGGAACGCCATCAGCATCCTGTTCAGGTTTCTGCAATTACTGTTAACTTGTAAATTTCTCAGAAAATTGTCCCATTGAGTGCACACATTTCTCCTACCATTAATTAACATGTCCAAGTCAATTTCTCAATGTCAAATGTTTCGCTCACAAACACACACACGTGCAGGCTACAATCTACAGTAACTGTATCATGACCATCTCAGGTGGAGAGCAGAGTCCAAGTGACAACGGGTCCGAGTTGAAATAAATCCAGGACAGTAAAAATCACTGAAACACTAGGAAGTGCCGCTTGTGGAAACTCGGTGCCCACGGGCTCATAAGCTAAATGACAATTGGCACATACACTTAAAGTAAAAAATACCAAACAAAAACTCCTGGTTGTGATGAACTGCGGAAAAAACTATTAGACCATGCTCTTAAATTACCCCATGATTCGTCAAACAAAGATCAGAATTTAAAAATTAACCCCAAAATGAGTAACGACTCGACCTACAAAACCATATAAAAATGCCTTTATCGAACACTTTTTTTATGAGCCCCATGCAGGAAACACCATAGTTATAAAACTCAACCCAAGTGTTAATCCAGCCGAAGACTCGGGTTGCAGTTTAGGAGGTTCGACCCGGGTCATTGCAAAACCCGGTCTAGGTCGTGTTGGACTTTTTTTTTAACGGAAAAACTGTAAACTAACCGTACAGGACAGGACAGCATCACTGATTTTCCAGTCAGAAACATCTCGGAGCCATCGACAATAAAAACGACGACACTAAATTTGATGGCACGCTACATAAAAATGTTTATAGTGTAAGCAACGAAATAGCAGGAGGAAAAAAGTAACTGACCAGTGAGGTTGAACTTGTTGATGCATTCAGATCTCTGGCGGAAGCATGTACAATGTTCCTGCATTCCAGTCAATCATCGATAAGCAAGGAGTCGTGACATAAAAAAACTTATAAGATTATTTTATTTTCATATTTTTTTTTTACAAAATACTACGCTATTAAAAGAAGAAGAAGAAGAAGAAGCAACAGAGCTGATAAAAATATCCAGTATCACTTATTTTTAATTTTTAATTTATATAAACAATTGAAAAAAATAGTAACTACATATTTTTTTGGAAAAACAAATCTCGACATTTCTCAGCAACCAAGCAGACAGCGAAAATCTTGATATCATGAAATAAAATAGTAACGAGTATAAGCAGAGCAAGAAATGACAATCAATAAATCAAGCTATGCAAGTAACGGATACTCGGAAAGAAATGTCAGCATATCCGAGAAGAGAAGAAAAGAAGACCGGAGGTTTATTTAGCTTACTTTTTCTTGGAGAGACCGATCATTCCATTTCCGAGCTCGGAAAACCTGTCACGAATCGGAGAGAAAGCGAGACAGGACCGTTCAGGCGGAGGAAAGACTTGAGGAGAGTTATTGAAATCAATATATCCGTAGTCAATTTGAGAGAGTGAAGAAGAAGAAGAGCAGAGGAGACTGTTAGAGAGGGCCATGGAAGTTTTCAGAGAGAGAGCTCGCCTTTTTTGAAGTCGTCTGTTGAAGATGGTGAGGGGGTAGTGGAGGTTAATCTGCATGACTGTGGGTGGCGTCATTTTGGGGGGGCGCACGAGGGGGTGATGACGCCAGGTAGGATTGCGCGTGACTGCGTGTAAATGAGTCAGCCAGGCTTCCTTTTTTTTTTTTCTTCTTCTTCCAATATGTATACTCTTTATGCTATGGTATTTGATAAATAAATTGCAAAACATAAATGAAAGTTTTGTTTGACATGACTAGTGAAAAATGAGTTATGATTTTGAATTTAAATTTAATTTTTCTTTCATGGATAAATTAGGAAAGAAAAGTTTAAATAACTTTAAATTGGAACTTTATTTAGTTAAAATATTTAAATAACTTATTTGTGGAAAAGATGTGATATGAGTTAAAAATGAATACTTTTAAATTTTAATAGAATTAAGATTTCAACTCAATTTATAATAAAGTTTTTTCTTGTGTTAAAATTTATTCCTAATCAAATTTATCTATGATTTTATTATGAATTGAAAGTTAAAAAATAAAAATAAAAAATATTTATATCATCTTATAGATTAGTTGAAATTGTATTTGTCAATTGATTTTTATAAAAATATATTTTTCAATACGAACTTTAAATTTTAAAAATCAACAAGTAAATGCAATTTTGACAGGGAGCAATGGATAATTTTTTCAATAAAATTACCTTGAATAAACCTGAGAAAATAATAGCAATGTAAAAAAAAAAAGTTGTGATACAGGAACCTGGGAAACTTTCCATGACAGGGGTGTGTTGTAAATTTTAAAATACAAGTGCGGAAGAGGAGTGTTTGTTAATATACAGGGGGCGAAAATGAAGTTTACAAAAGAAATTGTTTTATTTTGCCAAAATGATGTAGGGTGGGCTCTTGATATTAAGGCATCTTGTCCCTTGTTATGGTGATATAAAAGTAGCTTTCCTTTTGATACAATTTTGTCCCATCAATTGATGCCACGTAATCATTCTATGCTAGCAAAACAAGAGTTGTTCTTCTTTTTTTTTCCATAGTTGCAAATAAAACATTATCTATTATAGTATCATGTTTGTTTTTATATTTAAAAATATTTTTAAAAAGATATTTTTATTTAAAATTAATATTTTTTAAGTATGTGTATATTGAAAATAATTTTTAAAAACTAAAAAAAATTTATTTTAATATATTTTTAAATAAAAAAATATTTAAAAAAACAAACAATTAAATATGCTTTTAGAAACACTACCCACTTCCACCCCCTCCCCTCTCTCTCTACAAAACAGCTCTCCTCCCTTATTCTGCTGAACACAAAAAAGAAGAGAGAAACACCCCAAAAAAATCACAGCCAACACAGCATCGTCGTCCTCCCTCCCTGAGACTGCTGGAAATTTTAAGAGAAAATATAAAAATCCATTGGTAGTATTTATCGTGAAAATCCAAACCAAAAATTCCAAGATCTAAGATTGCTGAATATTTCAAGGGAAAATCTAAAGGTGCCTTCACTTCTCAAACAAGATTCAATGGTTCTCGAATCTACAGGCTTATTCATGGGAACCGAGTTTCGAGAAACAAATTTATGCCTTCAATCTGTGGGGAAGCACTTTTTCTAGCTGTCTCCATCTTGTAACATTCTTGACAATTGAGACGACTACATTCTGGGCTTTCAATGAAATCCAAGAATCCTGCATTGGTTACAGGTGCCCTGCGTCAACAAGTTGTTTTCAAGTATGAGAATCTGAGAGCGAAAATCTTCGGATGCTAGAAGTTGTCAACAACATGGAAAGTGAAAAAGGTGATTATTTTTTATTTTTTAATATATTAAAATAACATTTTTTATTTTTTAAAATATTTTAGATATCAGTACATTAAAATTATTAAAAAATAATTTAAAATAAAAATATAAAAATATTTTTTAAATAAAAAACAACACAAGATAACAGTGGTCAAGATTCTGTGGGCAGGAGGGTGAGCTGTGATTTTTCAGAGGTCTATCCCTGCAAGATTGAAAAAGAGATGGTTTTTTTTCTTTTATACTGAATTTTTTAATGACATGGTATATTAATAAATAAAACGAAGTCGTAACCTAAATCATATTATTATTTATAATTTAAACACTATAAAATTTCTCCTGTGAAATCTTCCGAGCGTGTGTCGACTGAGAGACTATCGACTTTAAGTTGATCATGATTTGATCTTGATCGCTAGCTAGCGGATTCACGAGACGGACAGCAAAACTTTTTATTTACCTATTCATCCCTAGTAGCTTGACACGATGCTAGTGGAGACAATTACAAGCAAAAATACAATAAAGAATGATTACAAGCAAAAATACCATAAAGAATGATAAAGTACTTAATGTTTCCAGCATGTCTTCGATTAAAAACATGACGTGTATTTGAAAAAACAAAATTAATTTTCAATAGGGTATTTGTTTTAAAAAATAATAAGTATCTTGCAATACACGTGTCATACTCATACGTGAGCACGGGACCATACTTGATTGAGTTGTCTGTCCAGGAATAAATTCAAAACCTGGATTAAAGTTTTTATAAAAAAGATTAGAGATTAATTTTTTATTAACCGAGACTTCGTGGTAGTTTATAATCAATCGTCCCGTACTTGCTTGACATTCTACGATGACTTTACTTTTATTTTTATGTTTTAAAAGTATTTTAAATAAATTTATTTTTTATTTTTATATTATTTTGATGTGTTAATATTTAAAATAATTTTTTAAAAAATAAAAAAATATTATTTTAACATATTTTCAAATAAAAAAATTTGAAAAACAATTGTATTTACGCTTCCCAGCAATTAAAAATTTTGTGGTTATATTGGAAGAAAAAGGGGTTTAAGAGTGTGTAAAAGGGGTTTAAGAGTGTGTTGGTGATTATTTTATAAAATATTTTTTATTTAAAAATATATTAAAATAGTTAATATTTTTATTTTTTAAAAAAATATTTTTGATATTAACGTATATTTAAAAACACTAAAAAATTCAATTAAAAATAAATAAAAAATATTTTAAAAAATAAAAAACAGGTTGATTCACTGTAAAAAATAAAATTACAAGCCAAAGAAAATGTGAACAGAAGTTTACTGTAAAAACAACCAATTTTATAACAAAAGAGATCTTTTTTATATTAAATTTCTATGCATCAAGCGGTGCACCCACCCTATCCCATCTTGTCATGGTGATTCACTTATTTGTTCTATAGAAGAAATAAAGTTGCCCCTCTTCTTTTTCCTCTTGCTTTTCTGTTTTATTGCATTGCATAATGTTGACTTCGCGTCATGAATGGAACCAAAAATCCAAGAGATGTATAGCAAGAGACAAGGTATCAAAGCAGACACGAAATTAATCATATAAATAGTAAAAAAGAAAAAAAAAGACCTTCTTTCCAACAACTCCTTCATTGATGCCTAAAAAACAACCTGCATGTAGTAGGTTTATTTATTTTTCAAACTATCCTCTCGAATTGGCTTCTAAATAACCACAACACCCTAGAAAGAAATATTTTATAATTATATTAATTTCAAACACAAATTATTATTATTATTATTATTATTATTATTATTATTATT